GTTGGTACATTTGAAGTTGTCCCAGTGGCTCCTTACACTATCTTGATATTTTTGGATTCTTTTTTCGTTTTGCTTTTCTGGATGGGTATTTTTTGCTTCTTCGTATTTCAAATCTTTGACGTGATTCTTGGGATCCTCTTGTCTGCTGTTGGATCTCTGTATATTATTCTTTATTTAAGTCAGTGTATGCTTAATTTCCAGTTGGTTTTTTTTTTCATATTCTCCAGGGTCTCACTAAACTTATCGACAGTTTCTAGAAATTCTTGAAAAACCTTATAATCGTGGTTTTCAACTCTGTATCCAGTAGTTTTCTTTCCTCCATTTCTTCAATTTGTGATGTGTTTCTTTGTCTCCACATTTTGGCTGTTTTCCTGTGTTGATAGAGTGGCTTTGTGGGCTAGGTGTCCTATAAGGCCCAGTGGTTCAGCCTCCCTAATTACCTGAGGTGTATACTCTTGGTGCACCCCTTTGTGAGCTGTGTGCACAGTCTTCTTGTATTTAAGTCTTGATCACTGGGAGGAATTGACCTTCAGGCCAGTTGGCTGTGAGAATCAGCTGTGTCTGCAGTGTGAGAACTTCTGTACTGGAGACACCCTTCTGGGACAAGACTTGCTTCAATGGGGCTTTGGTGCTCACTGTGTCTGCCCCCTGAGTGTGTCCCTTATGGATCTGAGGAGTTATAATCTGGATGGTCCCACTCTGACCACTGGGTACACTGGCTCTTGGATCTCTAAGGAGGTGCTAATTTAGCCTCTGCCTGAGGCTTCCCAGCAGGAGCTATGGAGATATCTGAAGATTCCTCTTCTTTTTGGGGGGTTTGGAGGTGCCCAGATGAGGCCCAGCTGTGAAGCAATGCAAGCTGCTGTTGTGCCTTGGGCCTTCTTTTCGAAGTTCTGGGTCTCTCTGACCAAGCTGCAGTTTGTTAGGTAATTTTCAGATTGCAAAGGGCCAGGCCTTTCATATGCAAAAGCCTCTGCCACAGCTTGGGTGAGGTGGGGTCTCAGGGAATCAACAGGGCAGAGCAAGCAGCTTTGGCTGCTCCTCAGTCCTACCCTAAGAGCTCCCGCATCTCAGTGTCCGGGTATCGCTGCAAGCACCTCTGAGATAAAGCTGTCCTCGAATTCCTCCCACTGCCAGACAGTCCAGTTCCTCCTCGTATGAGTCTGGGTCCCCAGAGACTCGTCCAAAAATGGAGTTCAGAGCAGTCAGGAGCTTGAGACTCCCTCCCGATTGAAAAAGAAAACTGTGTCCTCAGTTGCCAGAACTTTC